GTCCAGTATTTCACTGTGGGCTGGAACCACTGAAGGGTGAATCCCTGTTTGAACCTAATATGAATAGTGTGGCCATACAGTGCTAGATGGTATTAATGATTAATTCATTAAGATTTACTTCCTAATGTTTTTCTACCATTTTTACTGCTTTTTGTATTCTTTTTATCATTATTTTTTACTGATTCGTGTAAGCAAGTGATACTCAAGAAGAACGGGGTCAGGCTACATTAAGCTAAGTTTGTTACGACGTGTATTTTATTCCTTTTTAAATTCCCATTTTTATGATCTATACATGAAATGGGGAGGCTGGCAGTTTGAGTTGCACTTGCAAAGCCCTTCCTGGGCCAACTGTGATTCAGAAAGAGCGAGAGCGAAAAGAGGAAAGAAAAGACTGAAGAAAAGCCTGTCTCCCTGTCAGTCTCTGAAGTGAAATGGATGTGTAATTTATTATCTAGAGAGACCCGTTGTAAGCAGAGAGCTGTGTATGTGTTGTGGTAGATTGTGAATTGTAGTATGTTAAATGACAGCCTGACTGGGCGACACTGAAAACACTGCTCAGATCTACTGTCAGACTGTCACTGGGTTGACGTACTGTACTAGTAGAGAATTCATTTTTTAACCACTTTTATTGCTACTACTGTAAAGCATTTGCAGATTGCTCGTGTTTTAATTTATTAATTTATTGTGTGTTTTGGAGTTGATAGTTGTAAAAAGGAAAAAAACAACAACCAAACAAGGAAACCGTCTCTCTACTAACACTGATGTATGCAAACTGTCTTGATTTTGTGAAGCAATATGACAAATAATGCCAGTGTGATGGTAATGTGGTACACTTAACTTGGGATTCACAAGAATACAAGATTTTGTTATTCCTGTATTATGGTAGACTTAAACTGTGGACATAGAATAAATCAAGAAGTGAAAGTTTGATGTGAAAGTTCCTCTTTAAATCCTTTTTTTTTTTTGACAGCAATGGTACCTCGACTCATCTCTCCCCCGCAGATTTTTAATTGGTGCTGTAACATGTAGAAGTTTGATGTCTGCTGCCCCCTGTTGAGTAGGACAGCAGCTGCATCCGTTGGTGTTTACTAGATGACAAGCTACTGTTACTTTAGTCAAGTATTCCACACATGGGTTTTTGAAAGCTGGATATATACCGCAATATACATTAGCCACTTTTCATGCCTGTACATTGAAGATTCTTTTCATACCAAAACCTTACAAATTTTATTGCGGGAAATTGCACATTAATTATGTTGTTTTTTACTGAAATACAAGTAAAAGTAAGGATTTGTTTCTCCACTAGCTTCTCCACTACCTATTAAATCAATTATACTTCAAGGTATTACTATCATTTTCCAGCAATGACCAATGACTAGTACATAATTTTCTGTTACGAGTAAAAATGACTAATTGTCTAAACATTTCTTAGTCAAATCAAAACCTTAAGGACAAATTAGTTGACCTACTGACTAAGAGAAGCAGCTAGGAAATAAAATGTGCAATGAAGAAAAAGAATTCTTTGCTCACCTCTTGCAGAATGAACCTCCTTTTTCACAGATGACAGTGATACTGATACTACTGTCTAGTCAGACACTGGCCATTATTGACCACACATGTACTGGGCTGCTCCTGGTATGAATAGCAGGGGAAAAAATCTATTTCTTCACAATATTAACTCATTAAAATGATGCACGGGGACGTCCATCCAGAAATGTATTTGTATGGGTGCAAGCATTTGCAAATGTTACACAAGTTTGTCTGTATTTCTCTGTATGACAATTTAAGATCCACTGGGTCTGATGAAATTCAGCAAAATTCTTCATTTATTTATAACATGCATTTCTACATTGTAGAGGTCTTATTTTATTTTACTTCTTTGACAAAAGCAGTAATATCTTGTGCTGTCATGCCTTACTATAATTTTTGTAGTTAAATCCCCACTGGACTTCATGAACCCATAAAGCATGATGTGATTTCTGCTGCCAAATTATTATTGAACTTGTAGTTTAAAGGACTAAAACATACATTTTTATTCAGTTATCTACCAGCAGAGTGTTCTACAGGGGTATTGCTGTAAATTATGAATTTAAATCATCTGTTGTCATCCCCATGTGTTCGTGGTAATGATAAACTCATGCCCGACAGACTAATAGTAACCAAGAAGGCCAGGCTAATGATTCTGATGTCCGACAGGTGGGTCTAGGTCCCATTTCCAGGTCAAAGGTGGTCTGAGTGTGGTAAGAGATTGTGTTATAACTGCAGAGTCAACAAGTTGGTGATGACAATAGCCAATCCTTCTTCCCATGCCAAAGCAGCCTAGGGCAGGATGCTGAACCCTCAATGACTCTATTGTGTTATCATTATTATCATCATTATCATCATTATCATTATTAAAAAGCCAGCGAGGCAAGTCAGTGTCCCAGAGGACTGATTTCTCTGTGGGCTTTTTTCAGCGTGGACATGTTCTCATGTTTTTGTGGTTTTCCTCCGAGTTCTTCAGTTTCCTTCTACTTTACAAAAACATGCATCCTGTTTCTGTGTCAGTGTGTTTGCCTGTCTGTGGTTGTAGCCTAAACCTTTTAGTGCACTGGCATCTAGTGCAAGTCTTCATCTACTCTGATGATGAAGTTTGCAGCCACCTACGACCCTAAACTTAAATTATCAGGTGATGAATGAGTCAAAGTGTGTCTGTTACACTGAATCAACTTGAGAAAAGAGGCAAAACCAACTGAATTCACTTTACCCTTGTTTTAATTTGAAAGGTTCTTCGTAGCCTAGACTTTCCTCACCTTTTAAGGTGTTTGTGGTGGCGATAACTGCAGCCACACAGCAGCAAGTGTCGGTAACCCCCATGCACTTTTTTTGCGCCTTTTTTTGTTATTTTAGACTATTGGCTGTTTACACCCCTACTGCACATACACAAACACATAAATGATGACACATAGTTCTTTATTTCATACAACATACCTATTGTTTATTTAGTATTTGTTAGAAAGGCATGAGTTCTATTTTTAGCACACACATTTAGTTAACTTTTGTATATGTAACATGTATGTTTATTTATGTAAACCTATCTTAAGTTGTTCTAATTCTGTTTTACCGGTGCTGGGGTTTTCCTTTTCCTCTGCTGCTGGGGTCATCTGGCCAGGTTGGGCCTCAGGAAGCAGGAGTCTTAAGTAGAGGAAGTGCTCATTAAGACTGAACCAAGTGCCTGCCACATCACGGGGGGACTGGGGTTATTTAGATTGATTATTGTCAATTCTTCAGATTTAAGTTTGGCATTAGGATATTTTTCTTTTGTAGAATCTATAGGAAATGTATTTCAGTCTACAGACAAACTGTAGTGTTTTGTTTATTTGTTAGTGAAGGTGTTAGTGTTTATGTTACCCCCTTTGTGTGTACAGCTGGTCTGATCAACCAGTATATATGTTTCCTTTTGTTCTTTGTCTGTTAGGTCAGTTAAGTTCTGTTAGATAAGTTGGTTTGTTGTAACTTTGCTCTGGCAGCCTGTGTTTAGTTCTGTTAATTTGACCTCTTTTAGGGGCCCAGAACGTTTTGCTGTTTTTGTAAAATAATTTGTCTCATTTGGGTAAAATAAAACCCTTGTTTTTTCAAAATACACCTGTGACTCCTTATGCCTTCCAGCTCGGTCCCTCACAGTGTTGATGTGTATATTAAGTAGGCAGTCAGCTTCTGTATTAGCCAGACATTTAAAGAGAGTTGTGAAGGTTTGAAGTTTATATAGATTTCATGCACAGCAGCCTCTCTCAGTTCCCACAAAATGAGACCTCAGTTGGACAGTATGTATAGGATCAAGTGAGCAGCCAATCAGCTGCTTTAAGTGGTTAATTCATTTAGTGGCTTGCTTAGATTTGTCTGCTTGTCCACTCCAGAGAGGTCGATGAGTGGGCAATGATTGGGATAAAAGTCGTCTTTCTGGCTGTATAGGAAGTTGTGTGCGATCATGAATGTGTAAGTATCAATCATATTTGTTCTTTCATTGTAAATACCTGAGTGAGTGCTCAGTGGATTAATATGTGTAATTTGATTTTGCCGACCAGAGGGCCAGTGGAGGTTAACTGACATGTAAACTCATTGCAACTTGGCATTATTACATTTGCAGTTTTATTGTTTATTCCTTTGCATGAAGATGTGATATAGGCCTATAGGTCGAATTGTGAAGTCTTACAAGTTAATACTTTACTACAAGCAAAATATATTTATATAATATAAATATTTTATAGGCCTTTAGGTGTGACTAATTGAACTTGTTCAGTTATATTGTATTTAATTGCTGTGATATTACTGTCATTCTAGACACCTTGTAGTAGAGTATAGAACATCTGAAGCATTTAGTAGTAATTGATACACCACAGAGATTTCTAACACCACCGTCAGTGAGTTTTATTAAGAGATCTCAAACACCGTCATAAGATGTTTGACCACAGGCTGTTACTATATCTGCCACTACACTTCATCAGCTACTCCCAATAAATATGACACCAATGCAAACATCAGTGTCACATTTAAAAACATTAGTGAAATCTTTCCCCTCTCCTGTCACGGTCCAGGCCTGGCAGGACAGTTCACCCCTCACTCCACTAGAGTGTGCATTTGGACCCAGCCACATTCATGCGAGTGTGTCATGTCAAAAGAGGAATGTTCATACAATGAGGTTCTGTGTATAGTGGCTCCGCTATTGCTTCGGTGCACCACACGGACAAACGATTGTCAATGGACTATTTGAGACGGATCTCAATCGGTTTATGCAACGGCTCCTCGCGTTTCGACTGCGTGGTTTTTGACTTGTAATTTGCAACCAGATCCCTCTTATCCGGATGGAAAGAGAAAGACAGAGAGAGAAAGGACTAATTTCCTAACAAAAATGCCGTGAGTCTTGAAGTTTAGTCGGTTTCGTGTGTTTGTAGGTTCTCCTATTTTGGCGACCAGTCGCTTACTTTGAATTGATTGTTGGCAGCCGTACTGTTTTCTTTTTTTTTTTTTTTGGACTGTTTAATAAGTGTGGCACATTAGAGATAAAGTAAGCTGATAATGTGCCATCGATATAGGCTACCCATCGGTGAAACTGAAGTGAGGGATTCATAGTGAATGTAGCTAATTTATCTGTGAGCAGAGGTCGAGTCGTTAAGCAAGAGCGGATTCATCCCAGCTGTGAATCCATGAGCCTTTCATGTTGGTAAATCATTTCAGTTTTAATTATAAGCTGACACAGTGCGACCCTTGAGGAAGAAACCACTAATAAAATTCTGTAACATTGGGACTTTTCAATGCCCCTGTGGAACATAGGATGAGTTTATACTGACCGTATCTCACTTTACAGGCAAGTGTTTTTTTTTTAATCTTGAACATCGTTATAACATTTCTCAGTTTGACGAGATCGTTGTGCAAAGTATCTGTCAACAAATACCATAGGCTACATCGTCTTTCTCTCTTGTGAGTTTGTTCGTACAGTCTAGTAGGCTATTTCTCTTTTCCACATGGGATCATAGCCGAGTCCATACCTATTGTTTTCTTCCATGCCCGTGCTGTGGTCCATTAAAAGCTCAGTGGACCTCAGTCTCTATAAACTTGTCAGGGACCTGCGGGCATGGGAGAAGCGACACCTCAGTCTGCTCCAGGGGCATTCGTACCCATGTTGGGTGTCGGTTTAGGAGCTATGCCCGGTGGGGTCGGGAACGGGCCGGTGGTGGCCACCTCCAGAGGCTCAGCGGTGCCACAGCTGCACAACGCCATAGTGGAGCGTTTGCGCGCCCGCATAGAGCTGTGCAGGAGGCACCACTCCACCTGCGAGAACCGCTACCAGAGGGGTCAGGCCGAGAGCTCTGACCGGGAGCACGAGAGCACGCTTCACCTGCTCAACATAGTCCACCAAGGGCCTGGCAACCGAAAGGCAAAGGGCAGTCGTGGCGGATCGAACCAGCAACCTCCAGAGTACAGCAGGTCCAACGGAGAGCAGAAGGGCTCAGAGGGCGAGCAGAAGCTTTCCACACGTATAGCGGTGAGTTTTGTTCTGTGGTTGGGGTCATTTGGTGATGATGATGAATAATCAGTATTGTCACAAGTAATTATCGCAAAACTTGTGGTGATGATGAGAACAAAACTCTTTCTTTTTCTGCATGGTACTTGGATGTGTCAATCTGCTGCTCAGCTGAGAGCTGCAGTTACTTTAGTGATAATCTATCAATTAATGTCTCTACACATACTACTCCAACATCACTCTGCTGTGACTTGATGAACAAACAGTTGAGGCCTTGTCCAGCCTTACTGGACATAACCAAAACCAGACCAAATGGCACCACATGCAGGGAATGTTTTAAAACAACAGTAATAAACGCTAGGTTCCTGATTTTGCTGATTAAAGGGAGCCTTGAAATAGATGGGATGATGCAGGATCACAAAAGCTTGTTTGCAAAGCAATTCATTCAGAGGAAATGGTTTTGGGGTCAATGGGTCATGGCGATGTTTTACATTTACTGCAAACCATGTCAACATCTTCTACTGTGCGACTGATCCAAACAGATTGATGCAACACATTCTGTGGCTTGTTTAACCCATTTATTATGCACTGTTACCACATTTTGCAGTACAAATAATTCAGCTTCCTTTATTTGTGACATTAATCAGCAAAATATCAAGAGGATGCTGCCTGTCATTGAAAAGTGTTTCTCAAAGCGTTTTTAACATGAGGGCTTTTTGTTTCTTTATCTCTGAGAGATCCTGTAATTCAGAGAATCCTCAGAGTGAAGTAGGCTACATTGAGAATAAAGGATCATGTAGTTTGCATGCTCTCCTTCAACAGCAGAGCCTCGCAAAGAACGCAGGGTATAGGGAAACTTTACTGTGAAACGCAGCAGGGCTTTCTGTGTGCCTGCTGGTGCTGATAGGACTGACTTCCTGTATCGCATCTGGTAAGGGCACAGCCAGTGAGATGTCAGATTTATTTTGTTGTTTTCTTTCATTGGGCATGAGGGAGTTCAGCAGCTAGGCTATGAATTATTTCCCAAGCAGTGTTTCAATATGATGTCAAAAGGGTGAAAGCTTGCAGATGTTCCTGCACTAGATTTGCTTGAGATGCTGGATGGAAAAATAAACAATGTAATATTTTTTTCCAGTATAGCCATAAAAGGGCAGTGATGATTGTCAGTTCATTTATTGGCATTATATGAATTGGGCACAGGATAGGCCTACTACATGTCAAGCAACTGTATTGGCTCATTAGTCAAGACATTAGCATACAAGAAAAGTACATTTTCCATATAGCGCTAACTTAAAGTGCATTTAGCTTTCTAGCTTTTAACATAATTAGTTTTCATGCTGTTAGGTACAGTACAGCTGTGGAACATGATGGGAGGCAAGACTCAACAACACAATGGATTAGACTGACTGTCTAAAAGAGGTCAGGGAACATCATTATCATGTACTGTTTCATTTTCAACTGATGTTGACTCTGGAGTAGCGTGTTCTACACAAAACTGATGAGTGCAGCAAGATGGTGTGGAGGAAATGAAGTCCTGGCGTACATGTTTATATCAACCCTGAGGTTAATATGTTCTTTGCAGCTCACGATGATTGGTTGAAGCAGAACAGCAGAAATTGCAGAAATCCCCTTTAGTGCATTTATATGGCATGTATCCAGCATTTGTGCTGCAGAGAGTTCTTTCTTGAATTTATTCAAAATGTGTAAAGTGTGGAAAAACTCTTGCAAGCAAATATTTAAGAGATATATTTTTGTATCATTTCTGGCTCTAAAGACAGTTAAACTTTTGTTTCAAATATTTCCTGGGGTGCAGCTGTAATTCACCATACTACATTCTTCTGAATTAAAAAGTAAGGCTTCTACAATGGCCACATCTGTGCATGTTATTGACTGTTCACATTGGAATTTGCGATGGAAATGTACACCAAGTGAGGGGCAAACAACACAATGGATTATGACCGGCTGGGAGCGCGGAGTGAGCAGCACTTAACAACGGTGCTCATTGAGACCAGATTAACAAAGGATATTCTCTTAGATGAAATTGGAGAAATGGGAAAGAAGAAGAGATGAGAGCTTACTTATCCAACCACTCATAAAGTGATTTTCCTTAATGCTAGCATGAACTCATCGAAAGCTTTTGGATATTCATATTTTAGATTATGTTTATTCACATCCAGTTTTTCAATCTTTCCCTTCATACCTGTATCGGAAAATGCATTCATCACAGAAATAGGTCACAGAGTAGAGCTTACAAAACATTAGCCCTGTATTACAATGTACAGACATTCAGTTTCATCAGATCAGGAGCCAGCAACCATATTACATCGTCTATCAACGATACAGATAGTGAGTACAGAAAATAAAAGCTTAACAAACATAAGCCTGATATAGCCTTGCTGCATGTAGCATGTCATGCATTGTCATGCCCTATTATCATGCGTTTAACAAATGGCTCACTAAGCACCTTCTTGAAAGATGTGCTGGCCATGAAGCTGTTTGAAGCACAAGGCCCCCATATAAATGTTTAGAGCCACTGAATACATTTCCTGCACGTGTTTACTTAAAGTCAAACAGGCCTTGAAAAAGCAGTAGGCGAGGGATGCCTGGTGATTAACAGTCCTGTGTGCACTGGGAGGATTTTGTTATTTCCCAGTCTTGTTGTAGTGACAGATCTGGGAACTATAGGCCTAGAGCAGCATGTGCTCTGTATTCTGATGTGTTTGCTTGTTATGTTTTCTCACTCGTGACTCTGTGTGCCATCAACATGGCAGCAGCTCTTTAGTTTAGTTTTAGTTTTTGTCATCGTAGTGCTCTGAAACTCAAACTGCGCAGTTGCAACGTCCCCAGTTCGACGCCGTCCTAAGAACTTTGTCCTCATGTCATCCTCCTCTCTCTCCCTATGTTTCCTGTCACTCTCTACTGTAAAACCTCCCAATAAAGGCACAGTGCCAAGATACTCTTAAGATTCACATTTTAATCTGGCACTATTGTAGCATCTTGGGCAAATAATAAAAAAAATTGGCATCTCGGTTGCACTTTTGATGACACATAACATGTCCCCAACTTGGGGTCAGGACCCCCCCACAGAAGGTCACAAGATAAATCTGAGTTGTTGCAAGATGATTAAAAGGAAAGCAAAAAGAAAAAAGAAAAAACATTCTGCTACAAAAAATTTGGTTTGTTTTTTCAGACTTTGCTCTAATTTAGCCTTTTTTTTTCTTGGAAGTTATTGGGGTCGAGAGCCAAAAGGCTGGGAATCGCTGCATTGCAGGATTAAAAGCTTATATTTATATACTATAAAAAAAGTTGTCACACACATGAAAGCTCAAATGCAAAATGTTTGACATCTTTTATATTTCACTTTGTTCAACCAACATGACATGAGTGCTGACCTCCTTAATTCACCATCACTGAGGTAACTGCAACTTCCAGCTGACCAGTGGATTGACAGCCTACTCAAATAGCATGGAGAAAAATAAATTCCTTGTGCTCTCTTGTGGTCATGTATGATGGATGAAGAGTGTGTGCATGTGTGTGAGTGCGGGGCGGGGTGTGTGCAGTGTAAGTGTTTCCTGGCATACCCTGTTTGGCTGTTGAACCGCCTGAATCAGAGCTGCCGGTGGTCTGATTTCAGCCTGGCTCGGCTGTGATGTGAAACAATTAGCCCAGGTCCATGGGGGCCACCCACGGTGAAGCCCACAGCTTTACCCAACCCTGTGGATGCAAAAAGGATCCATGTTCAGCCCACAGATCACTTCCATGTTGTCATGGGAAGGCTGAAGTTTTTCTTTTCAGGATAGCTGGCTGTCAGTTGACGTGAATGCTGAATTACTTTAAGTCCCCTTTAGCGAGGAATGGAATTGCTGCGGGTGCTGTTTATTGACAGCGTGGCTACACTGTAAAGCCTGATGTGATTAAGCTTGTCTCATTGTGTGGACCTTAGCTGTGAGATGAGTTGAGCATCTCATAGTGCTCTGATTAAAAGACATTAAAATGGGCCTCCATATACTGTAGTAAAGCCATCTGTTAATCTCCTTCTTCTATTTGGGATTAGTCATCATTCCAAGATATGGTTTAAACACAGCCACAATCCAATTCTGTTAATGTATAGTGCATCTTCTGGTGTGGAATATGTGTTCAAAATCTCCTCTATTATTAAATGTTTTTATTTTATTACATTTAGAATGTAAAACATTTGATAGTATTCTGTTTTCAGATGATGTTTAGTTATTGTGATAGTTTAAAAAAAAAACTATTAACTCAGAGGGGTGTTTACTGACAGTAACCACAGTGCACCACAATAAGTGGTTGAGAATATAATGCTACTTTATACAACTGTTATAAACTTGTTAGCTTGACAGATTTAAATATTTATAGACCTATTCATAGATTTTATTCAACAAAATGATACCCACAGGCACCAGAGTAAAATATGTTATGGAGAATGATTGAAGTTTAATGATGTTTTCGAATTGAAAAGTTCTTTTTTATACTCATTTATTCAAATACTTCCTGATTAATTTCTGGCAGTAACATGCTTATGCTTCTAAAGTGGATATTATGACTTCTCCATGTATACATGTCTGTGTTGTGTCCTCTGATTGACACCACATACACAGAAAGGGGTCTCTGTTGCATTTCGCTGGCTTTTTACTGATACACATCAGCCAGACTTACTGACTTGCGTCGTAAAAGTTGGGGCTACGTGACATTATGTTCTGGACATTCAACAGTCATATCCATGGGCAGTTCATAAATTTTGAGCACCAACTAGATCTACGTAAGCACAGCTTGTCTATAAGGAAGAGGGAAATGGTAGGTTAATATCACACACACAAGGCTAATGCTGTGGCTTGTCAGTTTCCAGGAAATTACTGCCTCTGTAGGACATTTGTTTGGACAGTATGTTGATTCTGACTTCGTTAATAGCTACTGTATCATCTTCTGGCTAAATCGTGCATGAAATGAATGTCTCTATTCCCCAGTAAACATAGTTTTATGATAACATCAGCGTACATGTG